TCGGCGGACACGGAATCGGCCCCCAATACGGGTGACTCCAACCAGAGCGTATTTTCGAAAGTATTCTCAAGGTGCGCAAACGAGAAGTCAGCTAACAGCAACTTACTAACTTCTATATATATATATATACTTATATATAATTGGTGCCACAAATTTTGTTTATTTCCTCAAAAAACAAAAACAAATATGCTTACCTTCGGTTAATGCGGATCGGCTGCTTTTGCAAACATACATTTTCGACTTATGCTTTTCACACACACACACATACACATATATACACATGCACACGCACAAAACTTATGTACACATTTGGTATACATATATATCTCTATAAAAAAAAATCAAAATCAAATCAGCTCGCCCATCACTCTGGTCTCAGAGCTGGGCGGCAATCTATTTTCGAAAACACCGTCCGAAGAATCTGGTGGATCACCAGTGCCGCCATTGACACCGCACTCGACACATTCCGAGGGTCATATGACCTATGGGTAAGGATGGATCGGCAACTGTGCACTGTGTTGTTCTAATTGTTGTTGCCTTTGCTGTTGATGTTGTAGATGTAGCTGTGTATATCTCATCATCATTTTCAGCTCCCACTTTTGCTCATCAGCTAATCATCTCAATTTATCAAGCATCAAATTCGACTCTAGTCGCGATCATCAAATCGCTTTAAAAACAAAACAAACTCAATGCTAATATTCTGATCTGATATTCGTTCCACAGGCGCTCCTCCATTGGCACCTTCATACGGCCGCACTCGTCGGAGGGCACAGCGTCCAGCACAAAGTTGAAGGAGCCGAAGCCGCTGCCGCCCAAGCTGGACTATCGCTCCATGGTCTCAATGGATGACAAGCCGGAATTGTTTATCAGCGTGGACAGTGAGTGCAGTTATTAACAATCCATTGTCAAATATATATTTCATTGATATATTCCCATTCGCTTGCAGAGCTTATACCGCGTCCAGCACGCGCCTGTTCTGACCCACCTTTGTATTTCCGCCTGCGCATGGGCAAGCCCATTGGCAAGGCAATACCGCAGGGCACCACGGTCATGTCCTATGGCAAAAACAAGCTGCGCGCCGAATATTGGTTCAGTGTGCCCAAAAATCGGTAAGTCAAAGCATTAGATCATCATGGTGGAACTGAGCTGTGACTACCCCCCCTCTCATTTGCAGCGTTGATGAGCTCTATCGTTTCATAAACACCTGGGTGAAACACCTGTACGGTGAGCTGGACGAAGAGCAGATAAAGGCGCGCGGCTTTGAGCTCATCCAGGAGGATACCGAATGGACAAAGGGTGGCACCACCAAAGCTGGCGGCTATGGCGGCAGCCAGGATGGCGAGGAAATCAGCGATCTCACCCGCGAATCCTGGGAGGTGAGTGCCATATTTATCCAATTGATTCCACCATACATCATATATCTACAGAGTCGTTTCATATGCTCTAAATCTATATAATTTTTAACCTACTGCTCTGAGTTTTTCTCTCGCATTTTTCTACTATTAAATCAAAAGAAAAAAAAATTTTCTCAAAATTTTTAAATCCAAAACAAAAAAATAAAAGTAAAAACAAAAATCATTTTAGGTTATGCCTCGAAAATCTGTTGAAAATTATGTCTTAATATATATATATAATTCTTGTATACATTTTTTTTCTTACATTTTATACTGTCCACGCGATTCTACAACTTGTTTCTGTTCTCCTTATCGTGTCTCTTTCTCTCTATTTATATTACGTTACAATTTGCATTTATATTTTTTACGTACCAACACACGAATCAATTCGCCAATGATATATGTATATGTATCGCAATGATATGGGCGAAACTAAAAATAAAAACTAAAAAAAAAAAAAAACAAAAAAACGAAAAAATACCAAACTGATAAATCTCTATACGACAGCTTATAAAGGCGCCCTTCGCCAAGACCTACAAGATCATTAAAACGGCTTCGCATGCCGCATCGCATGATTTGGAATTGTTGGGCGGCGAGGTTAGGAATAAAAAACCATTTAATACCAATTCTTCCACCTAAACTAAACTGTGTTCAACAATTACAAAAACTAAAACTAAAACCAAAGCACACACAAACCCAAAAGAAAAACTATTTACAATTCACCTTTGAAACTTGTGTGAAAATTATGTGCATTTTCTTTGTGTATTTCCATTACAAATGAGAGCAATTGATTTTTCAGTTTTTGTTGTTTTTCCTTTATGGCTCGCTCGATTCTGTTTGGTTCTTCCGTAGTCTAATTATATACTACCAGTTACACTTTATGCATAATGTTTTACATTTTAATTTTCCTTTCCACAAAAAAAAAAAATCTTGTTTTTCTTGGCACATTTTCCAGCACCTGTCTATGTGTGTGTGCGTGTGTGTGTGTTTATGTGTGTCGCACACAAATTCTTTCAATTTAGTTTCTATATGTTTGACACATTGTTGCATTAGTTCATTGGTTCACTGGTTCATTTGTTCATTGGTTCATTCATTCATTGGTTCATTTAGCATTGGCTTAGCGAGCAAGAAAAATTGACATTTTTACCCATATTTCTTCACACATTTTTCGAATGAAAATTTTCACATATTTGGCAACTTCATAAAAATTTTTTGAATTGAAAAACTTTCTAAGAAATGTAATCTATTGCTGAATAAGTTAGATGGAGAGGAGTGAATTGTGTATATCATTAATAGATTAAAGACAAATTTATTGACGACATAACTTGATTTGTCCAACACTTCTTCGGCTTCTGGTGTTAACCAAGTCGAGATTGGCTTATGCCAATATCTCATTACAATCTTATGACGCGCATATGGGTGAATGAACTTGGTGTAACGCATATTGAATACATGTATAGAAAATGTATAATAATGGGCTACAAGTCGTATGTCAATCGTGTTTTCTGTATAACACATACAATATAACTATAATATATCAAAGTCTGCAAACAGCCTTGGCCCTTTAAACCTATAGTAGCTCTATTCATTTATTAATTAACATCTGCATAGTTAATTTCGTCTCGAGTTAATCAAAAATAGTCGGAATACTTTGGCTGACTTGATTCATGGAATAATTAGCGCATTTTGTGTTTACTACTATAAAATTTCACAACATGCTGCTACACACGTTTTTCTCACCCAATAAGCGTGCGTCTCGTCGCTAGATTATACATATATACTTATATATAAATATTTATAAATGCACGTTTCACATGTCGTATGAGTAATATTTTGTCTAGCATACGATAAATTATGAAACATAGCAAACGCTGCTTTCCTTTTAATAAAACAAATAAACAAACAAGCGAAAATATACGAAAAAAAATCTGTTAATCAGCCTTGTCTCAGCCCTGATGTCTGTTATCTGTGCGCCAAGTATTTCCCGCATCGGCTGTAAATATATATAGATGTATATATATAGAGGAGTGTATATAGCGGAATCATAACAAATTGTTTCCTCATTAGCGAATATAGTATAAGCTGTGAATAGAGTTCTAGATAAGCCATAGAATTGACGGACGAGAATTCCAAGAAAAAAGAAAAGCCTAGCTCAAGAGGTTATCGGTCCGGCTGCTACTATATAGGGTTGCATTGATTGCTTGAGAGATAACGTTTCTTCAATCTCTCCAAATTTGCGGTTTTCAATTTTAATGGGATTTCGTGTGTGACACAGATTAAGAATAAGATTCAACTCGCGCTAAGTACTTGCGTAATTTGGGCTTATCTTTGATTGCTTTTAAAAATATACTATATATATATAAATATATATATAGTTATATATGTATATATAGTATAGACATGTTTGAGCTTGAATCAAGTAAACAAAATAAGTAAAGGAAATAATTGCAATTTCGTGATAAGAAATATGAACCTATGAGACAAATATAGAAATATTTATATAGATCGATCTATATCTATAATATACAATATTTATGTATATATATACATTTATTATATGTAAATCAGTTGTAAACACGTTACCTACAAATTTAGCTTGTTTCTTCTACAAATTTCGAAATGTTTTTGAGCACCAATTAAGCAGGTCACTAAAATAGACGGATCTAAATGAAAATAACTTACAGATATATGCAGATATTTATATATTTATATATAGCTGTATATATAGTATTTGTATGTGCATATTATATGATATTATAGCTTATTGTTTATAAGTGGACAAGTTTCTGCTCGCATCGCAGCATCATCAACCGGTTTCATTATATGTGCTATAGTTATTGTTGCTGTTGCTGTTGTTGTTGTTGTTATTGTGGCTCAATAACTGGCAAATCGAGCGTGTGCCTCAAAACATAACCAAATGCTGAACTCACTCGCTCAACAAGCGGCAATTTGCATATAAAGAACAAATGAGCGAATGAGCCACAAACAAAGGCCGATCGGCAGATTCATTAAAGTTGAACTGATATCTATATATATGTATATAGTATCTCTATATAGTTTATATATATTATGCAGATCAATTCATTTTGAATTTCAGCTTGTATACAAAGTAAACAATTAATTATTTGTTTAAACCAATTACGTTTTATTCAATTTTATTCTATAGCGTTTGCCATTTAGCCGGTTATTGCTGTTGCTGCTGTTGTTGTTGTTGTTGTTGCTTCTGCAACATTCTAAACATCTATTTTGCCAAGTCCCATCCGGTTTTTTGTACATTTGGCAATTACTCAGTTGTTGTTTTGTCAGGTCATGCCACGCCCACACCCACGCATTTCAGTGCATTAATTGCCAAGTATCTACACATATCGGAAAGATATGGATATATTTGTATCTGTCTGTCTGTATGTATGTGCATACATATGCATACCTCTCTCTGTCTCTATAAGCCACTTGTTTGATCAATTAATCTCAATGAATTTTTACGGCATCCACATCTTGGCGCCAATTGAGTTCAGATGCTCAGTAATCTTTATTTTAAGTGCCGCATTTGCATAATATCTCGTAATTTTGGATATACGACTAACTAAAAGTTTTTATAGCGTATTCTCCCTTAATGAAGTAATTAACAAACATATATGTATATGTTTGTTGTGCGTGTATTTGCATATATTTAATACATATGTATATGTATCTATTTATAAGTACATCACTAAAGTCAGAGTTTAAACGACAAGGTGTGCAGAAGGTGTGGCTTAGTCTTTAAAAATGCTGTAAACATGGTCAAAACGATTTGACAATCGTCTTCTTTTTGCGTTTATTTTTAGCACACGTTTGCTCAGTTAAACTGTAAGAAAACGTGCAGAGCACTGTGATAGTAAAAGTTGTTAACATATTAAGCAACTTTAATATTTAATATGTCGACTTTTTCATTTATACCTCTTAAGAGTCAAACATGTTTACGGACACTCCATTAGTTCGCCTCAAGCATAAAAGTGCTGCCCATTTGGTTTTACTTTCGATTTCCAGTCAAACTTCAAAAATGCTGCCCAGTTTTTCTAGTACATTCCAACGATGTGAATAGATAGCGCATTCCAAAGCCAAATTTAACAGCGCTGCTTCTGCATTGCCTCATGCTGTCTCTTTCCTGTTGTCAATGCGTTGCAGGTCTTAAATCAACTGTAATTGAAATGCAGAGCACAAATATTTTAAGTTCTTTATGTGTGCTTGCAAGCGTGCGTGTGTGTGTGTGAGTCTAGTAAAACAGCAAAGCAAACAAAAGCTATGGAAATCAACTAAGTTGCAGAGCGTATGACTACTATGTGTGCGTGTGTGTGTGCGTGAGTGTGTAAAAGAAAAAAGCAACGCACGCGGCTTAGGCTACACTGCTGTCCAAAATGTGGTGCCACATTGCATGTGACGGTTGCGGCTGCCGCTAGACAAGTTATCAGCGAAGCATCGCGACGCGGCTGTTGAGCCACGTTTGTTGTTGCTGTTGTTGTTGTTGTTGTTGTTGTTGTTGGCGCTCGACAGCTTGACGGCGACGGCAACGTCGACGGCTTCGAGCATTGGGCTTGCTTGTGGGCTGTTTCTGTGTTAGTTTTCGCAACACATTCAAGCCGCACAGTCGCAAGCGCGGGAAGCGTCGTCGTCGTCGTCTCCGTCGTCACCGTCGTCGTCATCATCATCAACATCTTCTTTCGTCGTTGTCTTTCTTTATCGTTGTTTCTTTTGTGTGCATAACAATTTTGCGCTGTTGTCGAAAAGTGTTAAATTCTGACAGATGTCCCCCAGTGGAGCTTGAGATGTGACTGCATTTTCTCGCGCTGCCGTTAATCTGCAGGCGCCCTAACTAAAAGCTCACACATATGTTGGACACATTTATAAATCTTAAATCTCAGCATATGCGCTCGATTGCCTTGGATGTAGCGCTCTCTTGGCCCAATTACCGTGCTGCCAATCAAAGAGCGTATCCAAAATTAGCAACGCCTTTGCTACCTAACCAAAAAGAAGAAGAGCCCAAGAAACGAACAGTCGCATCAGCCGCAGCAGCTACAGAAAAGAAAAGCAGACAAATTAAAGAAACAGAAACGAAAGCACGTCGCCAAAATGAGCGTCAAACCGATCAAGTTATCAAAAATAGCCAAATATATTAGGAAAAAGGTAAATAGCAAAAAGCCAAAAGTATTTTCTTCCTTTGTTTTGTTTTGTATTAAAGTTTGTATAATAATAAATTTAATTTCTTTGTTGTGAGTGAAAGTTTACCTTAAAAAAATTAAAATATAAAATTGGAAAAAAACAAAAATAGCAACAACAATTTTTGCATTTAAACAAAAACAAAGCATTTTGTAAACGAAGCGCGTGCGGTTAAGCAAAATAATAAGAAACGCAAAAAGAAACAGAAATATTTGTGTATATTCAATGCCTTGGCCATAAATGAAGCAGCAAGTGTCCATATTGAGTAGTATGGGGTAAAATACCAGGTAAAACCATCGATAAGGCCTATGCAAATACATTCGCAATAACACGGCCAACTGCAGCTACAATAATAATATGATGTTGATATTTATGCAAATGAAATGGATTTGCATTCCCAAACCAGATGAGCTATAATTAGTGATCAAAGATGGGGCAATGGGACGCCATTAGTCTTATATGTCGCACAGCCCCATTAAGTGCATTCGAATTGCTTTCAATTGACTCTCAAGTGCTGTAATATTTAAGCCCAGGGTCTCTCAATAGGCGCTAATTCCATATTGAGTCAGCTTTGTATCGAGTTTTGAAAATGGGTTTTATTTCTTGTTTCGCTATTGTTATTCTAATTCTCTTAAGACTTTTGACAAAATAAAAGCCAAAACGGAAGGCATCGACCGGCAACCGTTCTCCATTGTTAGCTGGTTCTTATTAGCCTTGGCAATAGCGGTTACTATGTTGGGGTTCTACCACAGCTGCTGCTGCTGCTCGCTTTCCACTTGTTTCAGCATTTCTTTATCTTTGTTATCATGAACGACATCATCAAAGCGAGAGAAAGACTCTAAACGAATTGAATATACAATTCAATTGAGGTGAAATTTGCTTTCAAGTCGGTTTAAAATAGCTCACTCTATGCATGGGGTATGCGCGACTCAAGAGCTCAGCTCTATATCACGGCTAAGCTGTTCTTGACCATGGCTTGAAGAGCTCTTGGAACTTGTTTAAAGTGAAACCAATTAAATTCTAAGCAGAGACTCTTTCAAATTAGATCTTTCACATGTATTCATTCTACATATAGCCAAAGAACAGGTCGACAATGTTTATTTTGATCTGCCTTTATAGATATATAGATGATCTACCTTTATATATATATATTTTCTATGCAGAGACTGTTCTTGCTTCGGCAGAACATATACTAAAAAAAAGCAGAGACTCTTTCACATTAGATCTTTCTCATGTATTTATTCTAAATATAACCAAAGAACAGGTCGACAATGTTTATTTTGATCTGCCTTTGCAGCCCCTCCTTGAGATCTCTCCCTCTCCCACTTTCGCAGATAATTAAGATCAGGATTTGAGCAGCTGGTTCGAATTTGTTGGTGTGTTTGTTTATTTTAAGTCGGTTTTTACTTGGATATTCTGAAGTATACGTGGATACATTTGACATTTCTTTCACCTTTAGACAGACTCGTCTAGAATTCAATTGTGCTTCCATTGAAATTTGGCTGCAATTAAGAATCTAAATCATATATAAAACTTGTTTTCAGCTGTTGCTCATGTTGTTTTCTTTGTTTCAAAGGAAACAAAAGTTTATTTAATTACGCTATGGCCCCAACTAATGAAATTAGATACGCCTTCTTTGCCAGATTGTTCGTAACTGTGCATAAACGCAGCCATTTGTAAAGAAGGCAATATAATATATATACATATGTTCATTATATAAATATATATTATGTAAGCCACGTGTTTAGTTAGATATGCACACATATAGGTAGGTATATATGTATGTGTGTGTGTGTATTTATGTTATGCATTTGACTTAGATTTCAAATGCATTTCACTCACACATACATAGATACTATATATGTATATAATATATAGAAAGGTGTGGCAAATGACGGCATTTGTTGTTGTCGCGCTTTGCAATTGTTATTGTTGTTGGTAGGTGAAAACATCACCTGTTGATTATGCACTTACAAATTACTTGAAAAAGTCTTGCTTGAATAGACTTTGACATGGTTTATCTACAAATATATGTATGTGAATTTCTGTTTATGCCAAATGTTTTACAAGTTTGCTTCAAATTGTTATGTATTGTTTATCCTGCTTAAAACAATATGGCAAGATTAAAATTGTTGCAGCAGTTTCTTGGTTAATATTTTAAGCTCTGATGATGATTACTGAGAACTTGGATATTTTGGCATTTGCTTTATTCCTAGAGCTTTTTAAAACAAATTAAATAGAATTTCTAGCACTTAAATATCATAAAACAATATCTACAAATCAATATTAACTCTAATAATATTTTAGGAAAATATTTGAGATTCAATTAGAAAGCCTGTAGAAAACCCCTTTAGTGAGTGAGTTGACTAACAAGTGAAAACATTGCAAATTTCAATACGCAAAAAAAAAAGGCTCTTCATGACCTAAAATTTCTGATTTGGCAAACGGACGGAATCACACAACATGAATCCAAAATAATGACAATAATAATAATAATAAAAAAATAAAAGTTGTTCATATATTTATTTGATGTATAAACAATAGAATTGAGAAAATAACCGGATAAGGTGAACTCGTGATCACTTCATAAATATTTTCGTTGACTATTTCGCTGACGGAATGTGTCAAAAATAATTGTGAATAGGAATACATAATTGATTGTCAATTGAAATGGGATAGGGGTCAAGCCAGCTGCTGCCAGGGTTCAGGCACGAAGCCATTTTTAGAAGAGATTTATCGTATATATTCATATGTATATATATGTATTTATGCATATCTTCGACATTTGTCCGTTATGTGATACAAAAAATATATTAAAATAAGCCAATTTAAACAACGATACCAAAAGTTTAAAAAGAAACCTGTTTCAGCCAGCACTTAAAACAATCAAATTAACCCACAAAAATTCACAACAACAACAACCTTGGCCCAGCAACAACAAAATTCAAGTATTCAACCTTTTTTGTTTTTTTTTGGGCCAAAGCACATGATGCGCTGTGTAGCAAAGCGTAATGGGTAAAAAAAAAAAAAAAAAAAAAAAAACAGTTAAATTAATTTGCCGCCAACTCATGATGCCCCAATTGTTGAGGAACTAATTGGCAGCCTCTTAAGGGCGACAACTGCCCGGCAATAAACCCACAATTTGCACTATTCAATAGTCGAAAAAGTACATCAACGTTGCGTATACGTCGTGTTAGCAACATGCTGCTAGCAACACACAATCACACACAGGCAACATATATATGTGTGCATGTGTGTGCAGAACTAATAAACGGTAGCAACCCTCCCTTCTCGTCCATACTGCTTAGCAAATAACACGTTCACAGCAAACTTGTGCTAAGAGAGCGGCATCGGTATGACCTAAGAGAGCCTTAGAAAACGCTCTTAGCACACGCTCTTAGCACTCAATCGCGCTCATTCTATTGCCCTGTGGCTTGCGCTCTCATTCAACTTCTTTTGGACCACTGTGTGCGCCTGTTCGTTCTTTTATTTTGTTTCATCATGTACGCTAGTCGGCGCTCATTCCGTCAGTCAGCAACTTGTTTTCCAAACACGCACACAGTTTTGTTAGCCGCAAGCGAGTAACGCTTGGCTCGAACAAAATTTGTATATATCGATGTACACATATATGTACATATAATATATATATATATATTTATAATATTGGCTAAATAGGCATAAATGTTGTACAAAGTTAATGTGTTGTGCTGTGGCCAATGTAAACACCATTAACATTTTGCTGTTACCGTGTAAGACAATATTGGAAAAACAATTGAAAGGCATAGAGAGTGATAAAAGCTGTGGCAACAACACAGAAGCACAAACAAGAAAACGCACACGAGGAAAAAAGATAAAAATAAAGCTGTAGTCTCGTGGGTCACAAGACCAAAGCAAAGCAGCTGAGCGAGAGAGCGACACGAAGAGTGCTAAAAGCCAGAGCGTAACGCATGCAATGTGCCTGAGTGCGATAAAGCTTTTACGTACACTGCCGTCCAAAAATATTGTGCTACGTGAGCGTTAACTGTAAACAGAGTCTCGAATTTTGTTATTGTTTACAAGATGTGGTTCATTGTGGGACTCTTTGCAATTGTCGCCGTTGGCGGCGTAGCCGGTCGCAAATGGGGCCGTTACCTGTACCTGCACTATGGCCGGCACTTTCTGCCACGCTGCATGCTGTCAGTCAAGAATCGCTCGCCCACACCGCCGCTCTCGCCCACCAAAGATGATCAGAGCTTGGAGGCATTGCTCGACGAAAGCGGTGAAATGCATGAAACGGTGAGTGGGTAGAGCACAAAAAA